ATCTGAGGTCTGGACGTGCAGGAATTGGGGTGATATGAGGTGCAAAGGTACAGAAATTGTGATCAAAGTTCTGGGAGGTCAGGAATTGGGGCTTATCTGAGGCCTGAAGTCAAAGGAATTGTTGCTGGGGGTCAGGATGTAAAGTTGCAGGAATTGGGGTGATCTGAGGTGTGAAGGTACAGAAATTGGGGTGATCTGAGGGGTGGAAGTGCAGAAATTGAGGTGATCTGAGGCCTGGAGGTGCAGGGATTGGGGCTGATCTGAGATGTGAAGGTGCAGGAATTAGAGCTGATTTGAGGTGTAAAAGGTGCAGGATTTGAGGTGAGCTGAACTGTGAAGGTGCAGTAATTGGGGTGATATGAGCTGTAAGGGTGCATGAGTTAGAGATGATCAGTGGTGTAAAGATGCAGATATTTGTGTGATCTGAGGTGTGAAAATTCTGGAATTGGGACTAATTTGAGGTGTGAAAATGCTGGAATTGGGACTAATTTGAGGCCTGATGGAACAGGAATTTCGGCTGATCTGGGTTGTAAAAATGCAGGAATTGGGGGTGAACTGAGTTCCAGAGGTGCATGAATTGGGGTAACCTGAGGTGTAGAGGGGCAGATATTGGGACTGACCTAAAGTGTAAAGGTGCAGAAATTGGGACTGATCTGAGTTGTGAAGGGGCAGGAAATGGGATGATCTGAGGTGTAAAGATGCAGGGATTGGGGTGATCTGAGGTGTGAAGGTGCAGGAATTGGGGCTGATCTAAAGCCTGAAGGTGCAGGAATTGGGGTTGATCTGAGGTGTGAAGTTGCAGGAATTAGGGCTGTTCTGAGGTGTAAAGGTGCAGGGATTGGGGTGATCTGAGGTGTGAAGGTGCACAAATTGGGGCTGAGCTGAGGCTTGGAGGTGCAGGAATTGGGGTTAAACTGAGGTATGGAGGTGCAGGAATTGGGGTGATATGAGGTGTAAAGGTGCAGAAATTGTGATCAGAGTTTTGGGGGTTCAGGAATTGGTTCTTGAGGCCTGAAGGCACAGGAATTGTCGCTGGGAATTGGGATGTGAAGTTGTAGAATTGGGGTGATTTGAGGTGTAAAGGTGCAGAAATTGGAGTGATCTGAGGGGTAAAGGTGCAGGAATTAGAGTGATCTGAGGGGGAATGTGCAGGAATTGGAACTGATCTGAGGCCTGAAGAAGCATGAATTGGGCCTGATTGGGGGTGCAGAAGTGCAGAATCTGGGGTGATCGGAGGTGTGAAGGTGCAGGAATTGGGCTAATTTGGGGTGTGAATGTGCAGGTATTGGGGTGATATGAGAATAAAGGTGCAGGAATTGGCATGATCTGAGGTGTAGAGGTGCAGGAATTGGGGGTGATCTGAAGTGTGAAGGTACAGGAATTCAGTTGAGCTGAGGTGTGAAGTTGCAGGAATGAAGGCTAATTTAGGGGTTGGAAGGTGCAGAGGTTGGGTTTGATCTGAAAGAACTTTATTAGGGTGACCACTCTCACCTCACACTTAATTTCCACTAATTTTGCAGAAGTCCTCAGCTGACATATTCATTTCAACATTACCATACTTGCCTCACAGCACATGTGTTCTGAAAAAGGGGGTAAGTTACCATTTACCATCCATGAAAGCTCAGTGTTTTTCTTACCATTATTCAAATAATTTACAGCATTTACTGTATAAAAATTATTTTTCATGATTGAGTGTGTAAGTTGGCATTTTTTATATAACGGACACTCTCGATTTATTCAAAAACATTTTTCGGCACACCATGCTCAAAAGGTTGCCTACACCTGGTTTAATAGATTTTTGTAGCACAGAATTGTACATAACTTGTAACTATTTTGTTTAAGATGTCTGCCTAGTTGATATACTCTTTTTGTATATTTTTACAGTGTTGAAATCTTGTTATATGACATTTAGCAGCACCAAACCAGGTAAAAATAAAATATAAGGCATTTCTGATTACCCTTTTTACTCTAACTGAATCTATTGACCCTTCCTCTACCATCTCTTTTTGATTACTTTTTTCATTCTAAAGTTTTTTTTAGTATTCATACAATGGTTTTTTTTGTTGTCAGTTGTATCACTGGCCAATAAGAATGTGTATAAAGAGGGAGGGGTGCTGATGTTTTGCCTGACTAGTACAGCCTTGTAGAAATGAGGTGGGGGAGATATGGAAATCTACTGTACTTTATACCTGTTGTTACCTTTTTTTTTTTTTGTTGCCACTGTTGTTAAAGTAACAGATTCACTTTGACTGAATTCTGATTGGTTGCCGTGGCTTAGCACCTCCTGGACACTGCTTTACAATTTTTTACTGAATAAGTTCATTGGAAAAAAGATGACCTGCAGAAGACACTGGATCACACGCTGGTAGGTTTGTTGGCTGCCATAGGTATAGACACAATTGTGCAGTAATCTTAACCCCCCCATCCCCAAGCAATCTTACTGTAATATCTGCTTGTAGTGCAACAGCTAAAATCAATGGACACTATTCTGTACTCCTACTCCTGGACCTCTCTGCTGCCTTTGACACATTGGACCACTCCCTCCTTCTCAAAAAACTCTACTCCTTTGGTTTCCGTGACTGTGCTCTTTGTTGGTTCTCATCGTACTTATCCCACTGCACCTTCAGTGTCACTCACAATTCTACTTCCTCTTCCTTTCTCCATCGAGGTTCCCCAAGGTTTTGTTCTGGGAACCCTCCTATTCTCAATCTAGACCTCCTCTCTGGGTCAGTTGATTGCCTCCCATGGCTTTCAATACCATTTCTATGCTGATGACACCCAAATCTATCTCTCTATCCCTCAGCTCACTCCATCAGTCTCCATATGCATCACTAATCTACTAACAGACATATCAGCCTGGATGTCACACCACTTCCTGAAAATTAATCTTTCTAAAACTGGGGTCATAATATTTCCTCCCCTACGTGCCCCTTCCACTGACTTCTCTGTGAAAAATCAACTGCTCTACCATCAACCCGTCCTCACATGCCAAGGTGCTAGGCGTAATCCTGGACTCTGAACTATCCTTTTGGCCCCACATCCAATCGCTGTCCAAAGCTTGCCGCCTCAACCTCCACAACATCTCCAAGATATGCCCCTTCCTAACTAGTGACACCACAAAGCTTCTAGCTCTCTCCCTTGTCATCTCCCACCTTGACTACTGCAACTCCCTCCTCACTGGCTTACCTTTGCATAGGTTATCCCCCCTCCAGTCCATCATGAATGCTGCTGCCAGACTCATCCACCTTATCAACCATTAAGTGTCTGCCACCCCTCTTTGCCAGTCCCTCCATTGGCTCCCACTCACCCAACTAATAAAATTCAGGATACTTACAACTTATAAAGCCATCCAAAACTCAGCCCCCAGTTACATCACTAAACTGGTCTCAAAATACCAACCAAATCATTCTCTTCATTCCTCCCAAGACCTCCTGCTTTCTAGCTCCTTTGTCACCTCCTCCCATGCTCGCCTCCAGGATTTCTCCAGAGCCGCTCCCATCCTCTGGAAAGGCCTTTCCCAATGTGTCCGACTATCTCTATCTCTGTCCATGTTTAGACGATCCCTGAAAACGCATCTCTTCAGAGAGGCCTATCCTGCCCCCACCTAAGAACTGTACATGTATTTTGTCCATTAGCCCATCCCCACAGTTATTACATTTTGTATCTCTCGACCCTCGCTCCTAGATTGTAAGCTCTAACGAATAATAGTTAAGAATATCACATTACACAATTTTGGTAAATATAAGGTTTTGCAACTGTCACTTTTGGTGGACAACATGGTCTTGTAAAAGAAATGGACAAATAAGGAATCTATTGTCAGGATAGGCAGGTTATTTACAGGTGGACTTATTTTAGATTTTGCCCACAGTTCTACTAATGTAGATAAAAAAAATCTGAAATCTCGAGATAATCCTATATAAAGCTCTGAAGAGCTGTGAAGAGAGGGCCGCTTATCTTATTCAGTTTGCATACCTTATCTGGCTGATGTTTGGAGTTGATATTGATTGGTCTGTCATCTGGGTATTATGTTTGAAGTTAATGGCAGGACCTTTTCACATCTACACCACACAAAACTTTACCAGTGAAATTTTTATACTGGTAATCCTCATTATTAGCTTTGTCCCCACCATGCCGCTACCTGCTGTTATCCAAAAAACACATGCACACAACTGAAGGACTGAATAATTCTCTCAGAAGTGTATCTCATTCTGCTGCCCACTCCCAAAGATGAAAAGTCTGATGATTTAGTGCTGGGAGGGTGGAGCAGGGTGAGCGGTGCTACTATGAAATGTAATTATAAATCACTCCACAATGCCTGCAGCTAAAGAGGTAAATATGGGCTTATTTTAAAGCTTGTTGGACTTATTTTAAAGTGTATTAACTATATGATAAGACTACTTAAAAATCCACAGGTTCACTTTAAGTACTGATCTTTCTTTCCAGAATCATGTTAGGATTAGCAAAGATGATAAAAGGGAAATGCTCAGCAGATTAAAAAATCCCAAAAGAGTGCCAAGGGAGAATTAAAATAGTTTTCTTTGACATGGAGAAGGCGGGTGCCGGGAAAACAGTGCCTATTATATTACATAATACGCCGTAATTACATTTTATTAATAGATACTGTCAAAGAAAGGTTTGACAGCCAAACTAACTGTTTGTTTCATAATATTTAAAATAATACATGATGTTAATCCCAAAACACCATGGGATGAAAGTCTCTGTAAAAAGCACAAAGGTGGAGCAAACAAGTTGTTCCACTTTGCCCTAAGATGACCTTGTATGTAAATACATTGCTTGTCATATAGATGAGCTAGAAATTCTAACATTAACTAACCTCTACATTAAAAAAAGAGAACATATACAATATTTGTAAGTAAACCGGTGGAGAAAAAATAAACACAGTGATATATAAATGCCAATACATAAAGTTCTACAAAATGACCGTCAGGGGTGTCTGGGATTCCCTGAATGTGATGTGAAAATTTCTACTTATACAAAATGAAAGAATAGACCCTACCACCTTCACTCTATCTATCTGTGACATACAGTACATTGCCAGCTTTTGGTTTCTGCATTTCATTGACACATTTTTCATGTGGGTTTTTTGATGGTCACCCCCAGCATTAGAGACATAGACCAGTGTTTCCCAATCTTTTTTCAGTCACGGCACACCCTTTAAAATTATTATGAACAGTCCCGAGGCACCCTTTAAAATTATGGACAGTCTTGAGGCACCCCATTCTAAAATGATTCTAAAATGGGGTGCCTCTAGACTGTAGATAATTTTAAAAGGACATCCCATTCAAAAATGTGTAAAACTATTCTAATAGTTTTATATAAACACAGCAACATTCACACATGTAGGACACCCAACATTAAAGGTGATTGATTCTTTCAAAGAAAATACACTTTTGCACACTGGTACTGAGTAGTATTCCAATGTTTTTTTTTCCCTCAGTTTTTCTCCATCACTGAGCTAATGTGACCCCAGCACTGATGGAGAGGGGCAGGGGTGGGTCAAACTATGATGCTCTGCAGACAACCAACATCCTCCTTATCAACTGATGATGCCATTGGTTGTCAGGACCCCGAGGCTAGAAGGTCGTAATGGTGCACAATGAAAACTGTGGCTTTGTGTAACTAAAAGGCAGGCTTGTTCCACCCGCTGGCTTGTATACAAGTTTTGGGCAATTTTTAGACATTTTGCCAAGGCACTCCTGAAGAAACCTCAAGGCACCCTGGTTGGGAAAGGCTGGCATAGACTATAGTAGATGAGTGTAGCTTTGCCTATAGGAACACTGTTCTCTTAAGGCAAGCAATCCTACCAGTTCTTTTTGCTCCCAGGACTTAATACGCAATGCTATAGACACTGCCCCATGGTGGAAAAGGCTGATTGAAGATATAGTAAAGAATACCTGTAGTCCTCAGGAGAGTCAAACACCAACAAGTAACAAAATGCAGAGGAAGGCAGAGGCCAGGACTGACGACAGACAGTAGCATACTCCAGTGACAGGCAGAGGTCAGGGCAGGCAACTGACAATAAAAGTAATGTAGAAACAGGCAGAGGTCAAGGCAGGTGGTAAACAATAGGCATAATCCAGAAACAGGCAGCAGTCAGTAAGTATAATTCCGAAACAAGCAAAAGTCACTGAAGGCAGCAGACAATTATTGTGACATGCAAAGGTCGGAGCAGGCAGCAGACACTAGGCTAACTCAGGGACAGCCAACTACAATTAAACTGAGTATCAGAGCAAAATAGTGTTATGCCAGTGTAATTAGTTTTATCATAAGCCCAGAGCCTTAATCAATGAAAAATAGTTTACATGGGATGACAGATATATCTTTATTGTCAAGTTGCAAATCCAAAGTTCTGGAGAAACACAGGTCCCCCTTCCAAAGGGGAAAAGCAATCTATATTTGTTATCTCGAGAAAATGGACCTGCATGTCCCTGAAATGTTGAATATGCAGCTTGACGTGTTCCTTTTAGTAAAACTCCTTCCACTCTAGCAACCAGGTGGCAGTAAAACAGGTAGTTAAACCACCAACTACCCCGCTAGGGTAAGAACATATTGTCGCAGCCATTTTAAACGCAACAGTGTACTCACCTACATATTTCTCTCATTGATTTCCTGTAAGATAAATTAGATGCTTTACAGCAAAACCTAACAGTGACTTCTTTATCACACAATAAAAATGTTGCCTGTGTCTAGAACAGCCAGAGGTTCATTTTAATGTAGAACTGTGACCAGGCTACGGGATTTCAAATATTTACATAGTCTTAATCGAGAGTTAATATGCATTAAACAAAATACCAATGTAGCTGCAGGTGCAATTGAGCAAATCATCCTCAAAATTTGCAAGAGATACACTAACAGTTTATCAGGTTTTGGCATTTTTCTCTCTACCCTCTAGATATTATAAGGATGGCATGTTACTGACTCACTCCCTAGAGGGGAGAGCAAATTGATCTGAACTGCTTAAATGAAACTGAAAGTGTTTTTTTAGTCGAATATTTAGAGGATGAACTAGGTAAGTGAGGGCTTGTTCTACAGCACATTTACCATTTGTTAAGACTATGTTAATATTCCAGTGCTTAGTGCTTCCATAGCTTGGCTACACTTCTACTGTAAGTGTAATAAACCCTGTATAAATGTAATTTCAATAAATACTCTAATAAAAATTGTGATTATAAGGCTTACCTAACTTTAAAGCCCAACTCTGAGCACAAGAAAAAAAATTCCTTGCTATGGGGGCCCCAGCACTGCAAAGGGTAACTACTCAATAGGTTTAGGTATACAAAGATAAGGAGTAATAATTATCCTTCTCTTTCATTTAGGCTCCCTCCATCCATATGACTGGTCCTCCAGAGCCTCCTATCCAAGGTGCTCCTCGTTGTGATCACAGGTCTGCCTCCTCCACATACAATGTAGGGTTAAAAGCCCTGCTTTGTACATGACGATGCAGAGGGATCACCCACAACCAAGCGAAGAGAAAAAAAGAGGACTGAGCTGGAGCCTGCAAGAGCAGTGTGTAGGGTGAGTAATACAGCCTTTTTAGCTCCCCCTGAAACGAATGGGCATTTAACCCTTGCAGTGAGGGGGCTGGGGGGGCTGCCAGGTTTTTTTTATCCCGGAGTTGGGTTTTGATTTACTATGTAGGTATATTACATATGTTGTTTTATGGTTTTTGGAACCACTATTGACCTAGCAAACAGTACTTTTGTAATTTGCGTTTAAATCTGTGTTTTGTATGCATTTATTGTTTGAATAATGGTAATCATTTAAGATAAGCTAAGTTCATCAGCAATCTTTATTAACAGTTTTTATATAGTCAAGGCCTTCCAATTTATTTGTGCAGATGACAAGGTATAATATAACTCAGGATTGGTTTTATTTTTTCTAGGATCAGTATTTGTCATGTAGATGGAAAATCACAATTAAAGTGTTTCTAAACCCCAAAACAAAACATTAATATATTGCCAGTTTACCAGCTCTTAAATATAGAGGTTGCATTAGTTTTCTTTTTCCAAGCTTTTTACCTTTATTTTTACCTGGTGATCTGGAAGTAACGTGTTCTTTCACCGTACTGTATCTATGGAGAAGCAATGTTGTCACCATAGGTTGCTGACCTGATTTTGACTACAAACACTCCTCCTCATCTCTTTTATGTATAGAGAAGGGGTTTTCTAGTTCATAAAAGATAGCTTATAAAGATAATATTTTTTGACACTTCAGTTCAGTAAGAAGTTACAAGTAATCTGTATTTCTAGGTAGCATTGTACAGTACATTTTTGAAAGTGGACTTTTCAGGTGCCTAAATGATTACACAACATAATGTATAAAAATGATACAAATGTTTTAATACAAAAAATAAAATACTACACAATTCAACATGTATTTAAAAGGTCCCTGTACTCATTCATTGACATTGGTGTATAACTCCCTTTTATTATACATCCCCCTCGATATCCCATATGCATTGCTATTGATAACACACATACAGTACATATGTAGTTGTATACAACAAATCTAGGTCATAGACCTTACACAGAGAGGTTTTTCCTGTAGGTGGGCTATCCAAGGGAGCTGAATTCCTCACTGCATTTCTCAAGATAAACCTGCTTCCTCAAGAGGATGGGGGAAACAGCAAATTTGTGATAAAAATTATACATTAACTCTGATTGACAACTAAGAAATATAATTTGCTATGTAATTTTATTCACTGCATGTGTGCACAGGATCCCGCGTAAGTTGCACTGCAGATTCTCAGGGGTGAGCGTAGGAGCCACTTTAGGGAGAAAGTTGGAAAGCTGGGGAGGGGGAGAGGGAAAAGGAAAAAGGGAAAAATAGGGGTATAAAGTAGGTAAAATATGTTCAAACACACATGTCTAATATTGGAAAAAAATAAATAGTTCTACCCTCCTTTATAGGGGTGAGAACCCTAGATAGTGATATTTATATAAGGAGCCATATAGATGTAAAATTTTGGATTCCTGAAAAATATAATTCTTGTTATATCTTTTTTTACATTTTTTTTATTTCAGTTTTTTTGCAGGGCTTTCAGCGATTAACCACCCCAAGTATTGGTGTTTTCCTGCCTAGAGTTGGTTGGAGGGTACAATACTCTCTTGTTTGCTAGTTACCATACATGCCAATCTCTGTTAACATATGCTACTTTCTAAGGCTTAGGTACCATTTTGGGCCACTTGAATTTTGCCAATGTCAGTATATTGTATCCAGTGCTTCCACTGGAGGTGCTTTTCTTATTTTCACTTTTCATGGAAAAAATGTATATAATTGTCAAGAGCTACCATCAAAGAACTGGGATACTTGCCTCATTATAGGATTATTACACAGTATATTATTATATTTTGCAAATATCAAAATGTTTTCATGAGTGAATATCAGTCCAAAGCAGTTGAAGTGTCTACACAGACTGCATTTGTATGCAGACCAGCATAGGTGATGCTGAGCCTCAATAACTGAAAGAACTGAAATCCAATGAATGAAACGGGCAGACCAGGGACAGTAAGGCTATGGAGGATAGAGATAGATGATGCTGGAATTTTTTCCATCCTGGAATTGAGGAGATGAACTCTAAATAAATTTCTGCAGCTTCTAATGCACACTGTAAAAAAAAAAAATATAAAAAATATATATATATATATATATATATATATATATAGTGAAGGAAATAAGTATTTGATCCCCTGCTGATTTTGAATGTTTCCCCACTCACAAAGAAATGATCAGTCTAAAAATCGAATGGCAGGTGTATTGTAACACTGAGAGACTAACAAATTATGCACTGATCTGCATGTTCATGAGGGAAATAAGTATTTGATCCCCTATCATTCAGCAGGATTTCTGGCTACCAGGTGTCTTTCATACAGGTAAGAAGCTGAGATTAGAAGCAGTCTCTTAAAGGGAGTGCTGCTAATCTCACTTTGTTACCTGTATAAAAGACACCCATAGGAGCAATCAAACAATCAAATTTCACACTCTCCACCATGGCAAAGACTAAAGAGCTGTCCAAGGATGTCAGGGACAAGATTGTAGACCTACACAAGGCTGGACTGGGCTACCAAACTATTGCCAAGCAGCTTGGTGAGAAAGTGACAACAGTTGGTGCAATAATTCGAAAATGGAAGAAACACAAAACAACTGTCAGTCTCCCTAGGTCTAGTGCACCATGCAAAATCTCACTTCATGGAGTGTCAATGAACATGAGAACAGTGAGGAATCATCCCAGAACTACACGTGAGGATCTTGTCAATGATCTCCAGGCAGCTGGGACCACAGTCACCAAGAAA